GAGCGTCGTCGATTTCTCGATCGTGGGAAAGAGATGCGTTTGAAACGTGAGACGAGCTGAATCTCCACGAAACTTGAACAATGAAGTTGCCGTAACACGTTCAGAAATTTTCCCCAGCGCGATTTTGACCAGTCGATATATTGAGAAGCGATCGTGAGAACGGGGACAGAACAGAAACTCATTCAAAAAGGTTTCAAAGAAAATAATCGCGTTAATTTTCATTCTGAATAAATTCAACGGATATCTCATGTGTTCATTCCTTACGTCTCTTCTTATATTCTTTTTTTTTCCTATTTATTTGTGATTTCTCTTTTATCTGATTCTCGACAAGAACTGTGGTAGCAAAAATTGGGGCGGGCCGGTCTACCGCAAATTCAATCGGGCGATAGACCGCCCTCAAGACGGCGCGGCACTCACAAATACCTATTTACAAAAATATACACATGAGCAACTTACTTATCCGTGTGTATTTGCTTTTTATTCATCGTTTCCGTTATCATCTCATGTCTACGCTCACCTCAATCGTCCAGCATTTGTCTTGTCTTGTTCTTCCCTCGCTTGCATTTCGTTTCGTCAAATAATGCTATGTATGGTATATGTGTATGCGGTATATCTGTACTTTTCTTTCTTTTTTTTTCATCTAAGAACCTCTACATATCCCCCAGTTAACTCTAGGTAATGTAAATAATATGTATCGGTAGTGTGTCGCATTTGTTACTGCTTTTTTTCTGTGTTGCATATTAATTACTCTAGTCTAAATTACTTCCCGTGATCTATCTACAAAAAAAAAGAAAAAAAAGAGACGCGTCCTTCGCACGTTAGACGTAACTATAGTACATCGCTCGATCTTGTTGTTGATCCTGTTGCTCGCGCATCTCTCACCGTACACATTTTAATCGTCCCCTCCCCTCCCTCATCATTTTATCACGATATTATCCCACTATTTGCGAATACAACTCTGTCATCTGTTCCCCTATACTGAAACGCGGCGCCGGCGCGCGAGATGCATTCTCTCTGTCTATGTCTTCGTTATTATAAATATATTCTTATCTTTATATAACTATTTATATATTTATATAGGTAATAAACTATATATATATTAAATATGTGTATATTCTCGTTTTATTCATCGCACTCGAATCGCCGAAACGATACTCATGCTTCAGGTAACGTCGGCTGTGGCGCACCGTGAAGCGAGAACACACGGGCGCTTTTCAGTGGCACTTCTACTACCCCTTCGTGATTTCACTTTTTTTCCTCTTCGTCTTCGTTCTTCTCTCTCTTCTTTTCTTGTTTCTCCGCTACCTCTGATTCTCCTCTCGACCTTTCACGTCGATATCTACATGCGTTAACTTACAAAAGCGGACACTTCGGAAAAATAGACACAAGTTATCACTGCGGCTCGCTAGGAAATTTAATGCGCTCGCTGGCGAGCACCTCGATATCATCTCCGTTCAATGATTCTCCATTGCGCCTCGAGAGTAAGTAACACGTGCTCTAAACAAAGTGCACGAGGTTCGTTATGCACCGTGGTAAGATAAGCAGTTCCTCCTTCCGGTCGGCTGCTTTTCCCTTGCCCCTTTCAGGCACACGCGCTTCGCAATTGACTATAAACTTGCTGCTAAATTTATCTGAAGAATGCCCCCATATCGTCCGTAGATCGCCCGACTAAGGGAGATCCCCAAGAGCTCTGCTCTCGTTTTCTCTTTCTAGAGATTACCATGATCCTCGTTATCGATTCGGTCGCACCCCCGAGACCACTTCTTTAAGAGAAAATAGTCCGTGATTTCGCTCGTCATCGATACATCACCGTCGCTTCTTCCTATTTTTCATATCTCCGGTTGCATGCCCAAAGATAATGGTTGTTGATAACGCGGTATCACGCAACTACGTAAACATGGTTGGGTAAGTGACCATGTTTTGAGGAAGGGAGGTAATGTAATTTGGGGTGGGTGGTCGGGGGCTATGCCACTGTGGTCAGAGAGCTCGTAACTTCTTTATACCCGCTTGAACGTACCGCACGAGCTCGCGTACTGAGCTATATGATGTCAAGGGTCCCAATCTTCGATCCAAGTCAATGAAAAAGTCTGAAAGTACGAGGAAAAAATGGCGATTAACGTCGGAACGAAAATCATTTGACATACTGGCTCTTTCCCATACGTACTTCTGTGCTCCTCCTGTTTCGCCTGCTTTATCGCCTGGTCCCATAAATCGTGACTGTTCGTAAGTAACCCTGAATACTGATTCTGTTTGATCATCGCATTGTATACGTGCAATGGCACACTAACATACTGGCCCGATGTTGCCGGATGTTGCCCGCCACTGCTATATCCAGAGGAACTTTGACTGCCAACTGAACCTACAGAACCAGCGGGTGACGGCGTAGGCGAAAGAGAAGGTGTACCTTGTCCCTCCGGTTGCATTGGAGTTGTCTGAGCAGGTTGCTGAAAATGCCAAAATAAAATTTTTAATCAACTTGTTTTAATCTAATCGACTCGCATTGAATTTTACGTGCAAGACAATCATAATAGCTTGAAATATTAAACGTACTCAAAGATGTAAATGATAATATGTTATATATTGTGATAAGAGTGATAGGATAGTGAGAAAAACTTACTTTTTGATTGAAGTCGTTGACGATCTTTTGGACCTCTTTCACTTCTTGCTTGCGTAAATTGTAAAGTTTGGAGTACAAGCGCGACTGGCACAAAAGGCTAAAATGACAAATAACAATGGTTTTGAAACATGTCTATTATGAGACTGAAGTAATTCAGCGGACTCTTAAAAAAAATAAAAATATTCACCTTAGGATAGCTAGCTTCGTATGTATACTATTCTCGGGTGAATTGTTGGGTTGACTCTTGAATTTTGACGAGATGTATCTGCAGAACAAAGGAAAAATCGGAGATCGTTTTAATTAGCAGGCGTGCTCTCTTCTCGTTGCGGCCGCGCACGTCTTAATTAGAAATGCACTCACTTGATGAGACTAAGAGTATCTTTGTACATGGTGTACGAGGCTTTCTCCGTGACTGGGTCCGACTCCATCGCATCACCAGTTAGAAGGAAGTATAAAGCGGCCTCTAAATACATCATGCCTTGCGCTGTAAGCTCGTTTTCTTCGTCGGCATTATGCTTCAGTCGCTTAGCTTCAGTCAGGTACTGGTCATGGTCCCTGAAATACAATGATGTATTTATATAAAAAATTCAACTACTTGTAAAAATTTGTCAAATTTTGTTCTCGCATTAACAAACTTGTTAAGATATAAAAAGGCTTTACCTATCCTGATCCTCCAAAATTTCACTGTGCGGATCAAAGTAAGAATAGTAGACGCGTTGAGCTGGAAGAGGTGGTGGCGGCAATAAGCTCGTATCTTGTTTCTCGTCCCTTTCGTGATTCGTCGGCTGGATGTCACTCTATTATGTAACCATCAAAATATGATTTTATAAAATTGTTATTTATATCAGCGTTGTCCATAGTAAGGATCTTTAGTAATCTTAGTAAAGATTCTTTTCGCGCTGTTATCCCCTCCACTCCATCTCGCTATTGCATTACAACTTGTCTTTCTATTACTATGTCTACTATGTAACGAAAAGCTCTAGATCGTTTGCAATAGAGAGGTAGTGAAAAAGTATATAAGCTGTGTCATTTTTGGACAACGCTGATGTATATTTTATCATTACAATATATGGTAACAAATAAATTATGTAAAATATAAAAGTATAAATTTTTTTACAATTAGCCTTGATTTATGAGAAATTAATCAAATTTACGACACTAATAAACATCAACAATAAAAGTACTGCAGACTTTTCAGAATTTTATATATGTATAACACCTATCTTTTCTTTAAAGCTTTTTTATACAATAAAGGCAATATATGTATTAAGGTTGTGCAGTCCTTGCAAAAAGTGACTAAATTGAAAATATTAATATTTATACATTTTAGATAAAAGAATATATTATGTATATAACCTTAAACATATATATTGGAAGAGCCATGACCGATTTGAGTAATGTAGCGAGTGTCCCCAATATCTACTCTTATCTATCTAAAATCGACCCAAGGTATGTCTTTAAATAATACTGTTGCAGTAATAAATTAAGAAGTCTAGATCTTTACATGATACACAATTTCTTATACGAGTGTAAATGAAAAGTGTGTCCTAGAAATGATTATTTATAAATTTTATGTTTTATAAATTTTAATTTGATCCTTATATAACTTTGACTATGCTATCATTATTATACATAATACTTTACTTAAAACCTTTACAAGTAACTAACTTTTATTTTAATTTTTTTTTAAATGCACAATTTTTGAAATATAATGCGTTCTGTTACTTTTTCTCCATCCTGTGCATATACATGTTAACTAGTGGACAGTGAATGACATGACTTCTGCACACACAGATTGAGTCAATTTTAATCCATAGTAAAATTTCTTTCATATAATTTAAATTTTTTTCCGAATTAAAATACTTGTATACATTTAGGATTGAAGCATGTGTATCGCAGTAAATAGAGACAGATATATGTTGGCAAAGTGGAAATCGGCCATGGCCTTTCTAATATTTATATCCTAAGGTGTATATATATATAAATAAAACAGTATACAGATAACATATTCTTAAATTAATAATACATTTTTATAGTTTATTTACATTATTTATTGTCATTTCAGATTTGTATATCTTTGAAATTAAAATTTTGAAAATTTTGGACATAAATATGCTTTGTGAAAAAAAATATATATTTACAAAAAATATTTTTTCTTTTTTTTTTTTTGTTATATAACAATGTTATATTCCCGTAAGAGCACATGTAAGAGAGAAATGTACTTTTTTATTAGAATAATTTTAAATCCACATTGTATCAATGTGCGCCATCATTTTTTTTCATGTCAATTTAAAAAAAAAAATTAACTTTTTTCATTATACGACATACAACCTTAAACATAAAACTACATATACATTAAAGATATAATTGGAAAACGAATGTAAGTAAAAACATCCGAAAAATAAAGTTGTTATATTTTTTTTAATTGAACTGCATACTTGAGAGGACATCAGGCCATCGTCTGTAGCGTGCCTCCGTTGCCTCTTGCGATTCCTGTCCTTATGCTCGGACGAACTCTTGGTTTTCGCGTGCAACGAACATTGAACAGGACTTAAACTCGACACGGAACTACAACTTGGATTACGTTTCCTCTTGGGCGCACTACCGCCACCGATCGCACCGGCACCACTACTAGCACCACCGGCATCACCTTCGAGCATAGAACCACCGTTCTTCGGGCCTGATGACATTGACTGGGCCTTGATCACAGAATGCGAATTTCTGTCACTGTTATTACCCAATAGACCGATGTCGGTGCGATGGATTCTAGCGCGGTCCGATGGGACCTGTTGTGGCGGTGGTGTGTCGACAATCTCGCCCTCCTCCGGCGTGGGCGGCCTCGGTGGTTGCAAAATTGCCAAGCTGGAGGACGGCCTCTGTCTCGAAGACGGCCTGGTATCGGGTAATTCCGTGCGCCGTCTAAGCTCCTGTCCCCTCGCTAATAGCAATAGCTGCGAAGATATCCTATTGAGATCTATCTTGCACATCAGACTTGGCACGCCATTCACGTGGGTGAGTGCGGGGGAAGAGCGCAGGAGTATATTGTTGCCACCACTGGATGTCCGTGAAGATGGTCTCTTGTAAGGACTATCTCCGCCGGTCGGAGTGGCAGAATTATTCGTGTACTCTTCCACGTAGATACCGCATTTACCGCCACCTTTGCCACCTTTTCCACCTTTGCCGCCAACCTTCCCACCGCCCTTCGACGTCGAGAAGACGTGCCGCAACGTATCGCTTTTCTTCTTGTCTTGCACATTACCGGCGTCATCTTCCTGCAGTTTGGACGCTGGATTGTTGTCACTATCGGAGTTATCAGGTGAAGTTGTCCTCGTGGGTGGTGCTCGCGGTCTGGGTGGTACTCTATAATTAATAATAGTTCTACTAATTATTTCAAGTTTTATTTGTTAACTTTTTTTATATATTTATCAAATAAGAACTAGAAAAAGAGCTAAAAAAAAAAATTCTGATTCAAATAACAAAAGAAACGTCTGAACCATCTCTTAACCCATATTCTTAGATAGTAGATTGCCAGTTGCCAAAATATGTCAAATGTCAAGTAACAAAGGAAAAACGTAATGTCAATGATATGTTATAAAGAATAAAATGAAGAGAGACGAAATTATACCAAGAAAAGACGAAAATAATTCACAACGATAGAATAATTTATAAAAGATTGCTTGTTAATCTGACGCAAAATCGCGTTGCTATTGTACTTACAGCATTATTAATATTTTCATCGATACATATATAGAAGATATAAAAAAAATTATATATTACACTCCGATGCAAAATGCGAAAAAAACAAAATCGATAATTCCAAATAATTATGAAAAATAATTTACCGAGCAACTTTGATGCGACTATTTCTCACAGACACCTCTGATTCGCTGTCGGAATCAGAGCCGCCGGTAACTTTGGTCACTCTAGACCTCGGCCGTCTGGGTTTGCCCTTGGCGGGACTTTTCTTCTTGTCCTGCTTTTTCGGCGAGTCTGACAAATTGTTCCGTTTAATAGAGGAGACTCTTGTCCATCGTGTGGCGTCGTCCTCGGAGGCACTGTTGTTATTCTTTCTATTCGGCGGTGGCGAATTCTCGTCTTCGCTGGACGACAGGCTCAGTCTCGATTTTTTGTCGTCTCTCGTCGGCACCACGGTCGATACTTTGGTAGATCGGCGATCGCTATCAGAGTCACTTTGTGATCTCGAGTCGCTGTCGTCGTCGCTCGTGGTCACCGTTTCCTTTGATTTAGGCTGCTTCTTCTTGCCGGAAGTACTGCCGACTGTCCTCGTCCGGCTACGCGGCTTACTATTTTTCAAGTTCTCGTCTGACGTCCGATGACCGCGCTTCGGACTCTTATTAGATTTCCTGGGTCGTCCGCGTTTTCTGGTGTCGGCCATCTTCGGCTTCTCCATCTGGGAGCGATTGCCATCTTCGATCATCTGATGAACCTTCTCCTGATCGGAATGATGATCGCTGTCGCTAATAGAACCTATGTGAGTTCTCTTCAGACCTTCATCAAGCTGCCAATCATGAGACTGTTCCCTGTGTGATCTGCTGTTCTCCGTCTTTATCTCAAGTGTATCATCCCGTCTAGCGTTATCCTGTAAAAAATTTTCGTAGAATCTTGAAAATTCTCTTATACATAATCCAAAAAATATTTTTATATAAAAGTCAAAATCAAAGCCTCGCTTTCAAAGATACCGTTTCTTTAAATTTATAAAAATATCTATAACTGTTGTAAAAATATCCAACGCTTCACATCTTTAATCAATATAGGAGTCGGCTTACCTGAGCCGGCTTCGATTCGGAATTCTGTTCTTGCTGTACCGTCTTGTTGAAGAAGGAACTGAGATCCCAGCGGCGCTCTTCCACGGCGGGTGGCGGTTCCTCCACCAGATTTTCCTGCTTCGGTGACACCGATGGCGGCGTCGTGGGTCCCTTGACCGGAGGTGGCGCCGATGTTACATCGTCCTCGTCCTCGGAATCATCGCTGCTGTCCGAACCGGAATCCGTGCCAGAGTCCGTGCCCGAGCTCGTGCTAGCGCTTCCGGAGCTCTGCGGCGCCTCGGCTGGGCTCGATGGTTGACCGAGGACGATCGGATTCGTCGATGGAGGGCAGCGTACCGTATAACTGGCAATGCCGGGCAGAGGTGACATGGCTTGTTCCGGCGTCCGCTTCGGTGACGGATATTTGGGCGGACTGATCGGCCGCGGTGGCGACAGCGGTCCCATGGGTGACATGGCCATGGGCGATAAAGGCGTCGGCGCCGGTGTCATCGCCGGAATCAGCGGCGTTGGTAGGCTGTAAGGACGCGAAATCAAACGATGCGGAAAATTGGACATCTCGATTCGTGATAATGCTATCGACACGCTGAAAAATCGGCAACAGTGAAACGATAATTAATTTAAAAGATTTATGATTGTTGATTTAATCTGAAACTGTGAAAATAATTTAGGATTTCATATATATATATATATATATATATACTATATTTTAATAATACATCAAAAAATTGCGACATTCCCAAAATAATTTTCTATTTCCTGTATACTGCTTTCTATTCTGTTCAATAGAAAAACTGCCGGAATATCAAAAACATTGATTATATTTATTCGAAAAATATATAAGTTTGCGTTAAGAGATACAAAAGAAAATTTGTAATTTCTCTCTCTTTCAATATAATTAATATTTTATAAAAAATAATAAATAAATACTTAATAAATAAATAAAAATGTTTCTTAATTTTTTTAAGATTCAGATTAACTTCGACAAATGATTAATCAGGATATAAATCAGTTACTTACACAACCGTGAGATCTGGACTCCTGTTTGCTTTCGTCGGTCTCGACGATGTCTCCTGAGAATAAAAAGATCAGCTATCAGCAATTTCACCGTGAAATAAAGTGGAACAGAATTTTTCTTCCCGTGATGAATGCTGTTATTCAAACGCGGCTTGATCGTATCTTTTTACAAAAGTACTCTGCGGTATTGTAAGAAGAAAAGGAAAAACGAACCCGCAAACAAAAGTGCAACTTATTGTTTAACGTCAATAATTCAAAAATAACAGCTTAGAAGTCTGATATTCATTATCCCATTATAATGCTTAATATATAATATCTAATTTTTAGTAACTGAGATAATCATAATAATAATATAATTCACAACTTATTTAATTTGATAATAATTAAAATATAAATATAAAAAAGTCTTTATTCAGAGATACCTTACCTTGTTCTCCTCATCGCTATCTGACAAGCACAAGTCCCGCTCGAGATCACTGCAACAGAAAGAAAGCGTCGCTCGATTTAATCTCGAGAATGAGAAGCACTGGGTCGTGTGATTCATCGAAGTGCCTTAGTGAAGTGAACGCTAAGGGGGATTTATAGCTCACTGTTTAACGCGATCCTTCTGAAATCGCTCGAGCGCCACTCGTCAAACAAGGAAACTCATTCGGCGCAACTAGACGCGAGAGATTTTAAACGGCTGCAGCAGCAGTGCGGTAGCAGCCAACAGAAGATAGAGATAATTTGATATCGCGAGCGATGAGAGCACTCGATTAGAATCAGAGAGAGAGAGAGAGAGAGAGAGAGAGAGAGAGAGAGAGATAGATGCGTGCGTGGAATACACGTGCGACTACAACCTGTGGAGTATCGCGTACTAAGGAACAATCGTTCATTGATCCTTGGAGCGACTACTTCGTCTCTCGTCACTCATCCATTAGTGTTTCTCTCATTCTACGACACTGTCGTTTCCCATTGAAAGGCCTAAAGTTAGAGTCAGTTAACTCGAATTAGGAAAACTTGAAAATTCTACATAAAGTTTACTTGACAATGAAAATTAGAATTTATAAATCATGATGATAGAAAATAGAAATATTTGTATTATTATTGCAAACAATTTAAAATATAGAAAAATTACAATAGATCTCTAAATTCCTAGCAAAAAATTAAAAGTATGCAGGTGTGCCTTGCTGCAATTAGAAGCTTAAAAAATTATCAAGATGATTGAAAAAAGTGCATACAAGATATATAATGCATATTATTTCACATACGATGTACTACGTGTAATCAACGTATATTAAATTATACGTGAGATAATTTATTGCTTTTTCGCAAGTGCTTAAACGCATTAAAAAGTTAGGATATTAATTTCAAGTCACGTCGTTTATTATCTGCTCTCTGAAAAATCGCTCTCTCGCTTAATTTAATAAAGTGGATAATAACAATGTATGCTTCCTAGACAAGGTCATGTTTATATAAGCAGTAAAAAAAAAATGGGATTCCTAATACAGCTGATTCAACGAAATATACGTTGGTTTTTAATATCTTTATAGCATTAAAGGATTTACAAGATAACTAAGAAACAACAAATAATGCTTTCGTGTGAAAATATCGAGATTAAAGTCGACTCTATGAGAAAAGCAGATGGTCGAAGTAATTGCTTCCGAGTAAGCTCGTTGCATCGCGATTCCCAGAGATTACCTCGCTCTCGACAAACGCTTCGGACAAACTGTTGAACGGTGATCGCAATTACCTGCTTCTACATCATTAAGCAAATACGTCGTTTATCAGTTTGCCCTTGGAATTAGCCGCGTTTAATTTAATAAGAAGGATAATCGCGTCTGTTATGCCCGGGCATCTTATAGCTCGAGAGTGCATCTTTCGCCTTTCCTCTTTGTTTTTCTTTTTTTTTTTGTCCTGGAGAAGGACGAAACGCGCGGGGGCGGGAGGAGACGCCTTCGTCCTTTTTCGATCATCGCGAGAGACATGCGAGCCTCTAAGGACTATCCGACAAGTATCCGGCCGATGTGGAATAGAGAGCCCGGGGACAAGGCCGGGGCGAGGATATAGTATCCGGCGGTGGAAAGCCACGGTGTGGGGAGAGAAAGAGAGAAAGAAGGAGATAAAGAGAAAATACGTAGAGCACCGAACATCGACGGCGTACGGTGGAGGGCATCGACCCTCAATGCACTGTCCTACGTCCGCGCACTCTGCGAGCGGTGCCTTGTGGTTTCGCCACACCGACTGCGTGCGCTTAAAGCTCTCTCCTCTCTCTCGCCTCTGCCTAGCATGTAACTCGATTGACAAGCGATTCAGCTAGAGAAAGATTTATTTGATTGAAGATGTTGAATTTTTCGAGAATTTGGAAAGCTTATCAATGTTCAAGACTGATAAAAGCATGGAATATATTCTATTTTGACATACTTAATTTTATATAAATATTCTATAATTTATTTACACTCAAAGCTCTTCATTGTTTTGTGATTTTTAAATTATGAATTGTTTTGTCTTTGTTTTATATTTTATATTCCTCATTTTTAATTTTCTTCTCTACTTAAATTTTAAATTTTATGTTTTAAATTGATAACATTTACATAATTTACATAATTTGGTTGTGAAAAAATATAACAATGACTTACGAAATTAATTGCGAAAATGATTTAACGATTTTCATAGACAATTATTAAAAAACGTGTTATTTATACAAAAAAAATATTATTTGCATTCTTCTGATAGTATACATCTTGTAAAAGTTAAAAATTTATTTTTATATACGCTTGCTCTCACATTTCCCTTCTTCAATATGTATCAAAACTGATGTATCGAATTTCATTTTATTTCATCAAATTCATGAGTAACTGTATAGCCGTATTGTCCTAGAGAGAAGCTAATAATAGCCACGGTTTGATTCGAATTACGCCAACGTCTAAGTCTTTGCTGACTGCTGACTGGCTCACCGCTGCCAGCAAGAAACCTGCTAAATCGCCGCACGAAAGAGTTTAACGATCGCGTCTCGAACGGTACAAATTACTCGGCTTCGTGGGAACGTTTACAATTTTAGAACCGTACCGTTCGACGTTTGTGCTTTGTTTATGAGTGCGCGAGTTGCATTTTTCCTCGAGGTAAACGACGACTAATGGTAAACGCGTGCGATTTATCAAAGTATACTTCATCGTTAATGAGAAACGCGGGGAAATTTCATCAATTTCATCATTCTATTCAAATATAGTTTTATATTCTCAATTCTCTATCGAAGCATAAATCAACGCAACGAAAAATTTGTTCCATCTGGTCTTATTTTCATGTTCTTAAAAGTATCTGATTTATTTTTCGTATATATTAATGAATTAAGAAAATATTTCGCACTCTTTTTGGCTTTTTTATCAGTCGAAAATTGTTAATTTCTCATGTGCTGCGATATCCTTTTACACCTTTTTATACACCGTCACTCTGAATAATAAATATATAATGGAGAAATCTATAAAAAATAAATATGAAATAGGAGATATTTTAGAATAAAATTTATAGTAGTTTTTTGCAATTTTCACATATATCTATACTCGAAATTCACTCGTACCGTTCTCTACACACTCTTCACGATTAAAATGCTTAAACGTGCGGTGAGAACGCGGTCCATTGTCAGTCTCCGACTGTGTCGTTGGCGTTGATGCAACTCACTGCCTCCCTTCGGCGGTCGGCGCCTTGATAAAGGAAGGGAACCTGTTCGCGCGAGGCGTTCCTTTAACCTCGCGTTCCGGCATGCAACGGAACCGTCGACGCCGTGTCGCAAGCGTGTTGCTTGCTCGGAGACACCCACGTCGAGCGTGTGCGTGTTCTTGCATGTGTGTGCGGACGGAACGAGGAAGAACACTTATCCGGTAAAGAAACGAGGGAAAAACATTTCCGCGAGCGCAAAAAAAAAAAAAGAAAAAACGAACGGCGACCCGATGTTTCATTAAAGGAAAAGGCGTGAATGAGCGTTCCTCGTTTGGTAAAAACGAACGCAGGAAAAATCGAGATTGGCGCGCAAGTGTTATACGATGCTCTCTTAGATATGCTGATATAAAAATCGTGTGCGAGGGATTTTTGTGAAGGAATTTATACGCGATTCTGTTATATTCGACTGAATTTAACTCCTTAGTCGCGGCACTAATTTAAAACTGCTTTTCAAGATTCTTAAATTAAAATTAATGAAAAATATGTGCATTGTATACACACATATGCACTCTAAAATAAATAAATAAATAAATATATATATATATATATATATATATTCTAGATATATTATTATTAACAATCAATAATATGGCTCGTTAAATGCTAATGACATCAAATGATAATTATGACCAATAAGAGACTAATTGCAATTGATACTGCATGAAAATTAAATGTTTTCCAGAAAATTATATAAATTTACTATATTTTTATTCCTCTTCTGGTTATTATCAGAAATATAAATCTCAAATTTTAGCATCATTTTAATTTATCTCTCCCAAAAGAAGTTTAATTAGAAACGTAAACGAGAAAAATATCGAGGCGCAAATAACTAACTCGAGATTTGAATCTGGGTCTTTATCGTTCCCATTATTATTTCCATATTACTTAACGTAAAATAATGATTTATCGTCGATTAATAGTGAGAAGTTTCAACCGATTATTTATATTTTATTACCCTTAAAATTTACTAGCTCTATTCGCAATCAAATTGTTAATCGAATTATCAATAAAATCAAGAGATCGGTATGATTAATGATAAATTAAACTTTCTAACATACATGCGTTGACGAGAGGTACTTCGTGTACGAGTAACAGGACTTTACTCTAGCTCTAGGGTAAACGGCGCAATGCGCAAAAAAGGATAATGATCTTAATCGAGGGCAAGCTCACAGGAACCTCGTTTACGAGCTTCTGCCACGCGGCGTCTATTCAAAGCGTTTGCGCGAACAATCGCCCCGGTGTGTCTATTATCTATTATCTCATCTGCTGTTCTCTCTCTCTCTCTCTCTCTCTCTCTCTCTCTCTCTCGTCATCGTGTTCATTTGCCACTCGCGGCACGTGCGCTTTTACCGTTTCGTTACAATTGACAGGCGGCTGCCGAACACGATTTCACAGCGGCGCGACATCGCGAATGCAATCAGATTACAAAAAAAATCAGACAACAGAGAGCGTCATCGCATATACTTGTCACGATATATGAAAAAACACGATATATTCGTCACGTGTAAAATGCATGTGTATATCGAACATGTGTCTATAAAAAAGCGTAATTTCAATATGCACAAGAGATGTGTAAATTGCATTCCAGGAATGTAAGGTTCTAAGGTATAACAGACACGAGATAAATGTAGATTAAATACGCAAAAACGAACAGTGACGCGGCAAGAAACTAATGGATTAATCGGCATAATTAACGCGCAACTATTCCCGGCGACATAACAAAAGGCAATATCCGCGTTGGTTAGCTCGCAGCCCTAATTCTTCTCCCCGCCGTTCTACC